TTGTTAGTTAATAGTTGTTGTTGTAGCTGTTGTTGTTGTTGTTGCCTCCATGTCACACAAGAATTGTTTTTGTTTATCCTCTGCTTTATCTTTTTTCTTTTTGCGTAAGCGTAATAAAAAGTTGTTTAAATTTTTATAAATTTGCTAGAGCCATAAAAGTAGCTCGTAAAGTTTTGTGTTTTAGCACAAAATATGTTTACAATTTTATTTTGCTAATTAACGCAGCGGATGTCAAAGCCCACAACCTCAAAGAGACAACACTTTGATTGCTCTTTGCCAATGTTTGAGTTGGGCCATCAAACTGTGAAAAACAACAATCAAATGATTTTCGATATAATTCTACGATGCTATTACTTAATGAAATTTTAGTAGTAGTATAATGACAATGCCAGTTTCCAAGGGATTGAGTTTCATCTTAAATTTATTAAGGTGGAGTGATTGATAATAAATATTTAATTACTCCTGTTAAAAAAGGCTTTTAAGAAAAAAATGCTTTAATATCTAGAAGAGCCTATAATGAAAATAAACTGATTCTTAAATAAAGTAAAATAAAAATCCATAAGCAAATAAGTACAACTTAAACTATCTCTCTCTCTCTCTCTTTCTATCTCTCTCTCTCTCTATATATCTCTCTCTATCTCTCTCTTTCTATCTCTATCTCTACATGATCCACCATTTTCTAAACATCTTTCAACGATATCTATATATCTCTATCTCTCACTAGTTCTACCTATCTCTACATCTATCGCTACATCTCTATCTATCTATCTTCATCTTCATCGTTCTCGGTCTCTTTCTTCCTTTGTACATCTATCTCTCTTTGTTTACGATCTTATCTATCTTTTTCTCTGTACCGCTTTCTATGATTATCTCTATCTCTATCCTTCTCTATCTCGCTTTCTATCTTGATATCTCTATCTTTGTCTCTTTATCTCTGTCTCTATCTTTATCTCACTCTCTCTCCACACCTGTCTAACTCTATCCAACGTTATCTCTTTCCATACCTTTACTCTCTCTCTCTCTCTTACTCTCTCTTTCTCTCTCTCTCTCTCTATCATTCTCTATTATCGTCTCTATCTTTATTAGTTTCTAAATCTAAATCTATCTATCTCTCTCCCACACTCTCTCTATCTGTACTATATCCTTATGTCTGTAACAATCTCTCTCGCTCTTTCTCTCTTACTTGATCTCCCTCCCACTCTCCCTCCCTCTCTCTCTCTCTCTCTCTCTCTGACAATTTATATGCATAATTCAGTTAATAAATGCCCATTCATAACAAACAGCTTAGGCTGTCATAAATCAAATAAATTTGTCATAATTCCCGACTTTACACAGATTGATAACCTGAAAAGCGTTGTGTTTGTTGAACTTTGTTGGCTGCATATCAATTGCCCGGTTCGAGAGTCCCATTAAAATATCATTTATGTGTGTCAACAAATGCCGAAACGTTTAAAGCCAATTTGATTGTCAACCGAGGGGTGGGCGAAGGCGGCGGCAACGAGTTGGAGGCAGCAATCCTTTGGGCGAGGCGCCCGCCGCTGACAGCTACTTGATGGATGCGCAGGAAAAGCATGAAAAGACGGAGAAGCAGAAAAGCAGCCGCGACGAAGCCGCACAACTTACCCGATTAGACGCTTAAGCGGTGGGAGAAAGAGGCAGCGGGAGGAGGAGGAGGAGGGGGGAGTGGCTGGGTTTTGTGACCCAAGTGCTTATCAGCAATCTGTCAGTGGCGGCTAAACACAACTGGCAACAACATCATCATCAACAGCAGCAACAGCAACAGCAGCAGCAGCAGTTGTGGCCAAAAAGTCGCGGCAGCATCAAAGTCTGTGTTACTGTTGCCCCCACTCACCCTTCCCTGCCCTTAACCCCTTACATTTCCGACTTGCCCCCCTTTACGTGGTTGAATATACAAATTACAACTAATTAAAAGTTAATGAGTCTGCCGCGTAAGCGAAATCAAGCGAAGCCCATCAAAAAACGCCAGCCTCGATAAGGAAATGAGGCAGTTTCTGCTGCTAACTAAAAAAAATTCTATGGGAAGTGTTATCGGCTGCAAAAGCACTTGAATATTTTTACTAAATATTTATTTTCATTTTTATAAATTTTTTTATATTTTTTTTTTATTTTTCACTTGAGCTGAGCTGTCTCTGTTCGTCGGAACGGTTTGTGATGCCTATCTCCCAAATGGAAGAAGGTAGTTTATGCACTCGCAGAAAAAGTTGCGGAACTGTAGGGTAAGCAAATCAAACACAAAAAATTATGAAAAGAAAAATCTACAAAAGGGCAGTTCCATTTCAAGAAAATTGTTTCTAAGACTATTTAGTAATGTATATTAGTAATTATTATTATTGTAGTTATTATAACCTAAATCCCTTCAAAATAGGTAAAAAAAAGTTATGATGAAGTTGTGGAAAAGTATGTGGGAGGTAGAAGGAAATATGTCCGACTTAATAGAGTATATACATTCCCGATCAGCATCAGTAGCCCAATTCATATAGCGATTTCGCACTATTTGTCGAGCCGATCTCGGTGACTTAGAGCTAAGTTCTCGTAGACCAGAACAATTTTATTTTATATTATTGATAACATCACTTGATTATCGAATATCGATACAAACCGATTTCTCACAGCAATCGAAGACACAATTTTAATACATATATATCATGATATACACCATATATATTATTGATCAGATTCAATTATCATATCTAAACAACTTTCAGAGTTCAGAATATCTGCTAATCGAGCATTCTCGACTAGAGCATAATAAGTTCTTTTTATATTAAGACACTTCAACTAAGCACAAAGTGTTTCTGCAAGTGTTTCTGTTTCAGTTTCTGATGCTTTGAGGTTTGAGGCAAACATCCGCTGTAGCGAAATAGTTGTGTGCGGAAATGTTTTGAGAGGCTGCATCGAGCGATAAATGTGACAAAGTTGCACCATAAAAATGCAAAATAAAAGATATAAGATAGCAGTCTACGTCTATTCATCTACGTCTGTTCACAGCGCGAACAGTGTGTGGGAAAGGCAAATAAAATTATTATTAAGACGACAACGGCAACATTGCGACGACGCGATGGCCAATTGACTTGTTTGCCACGGTGGCAACAGCAAAAAATAAAAAAGAATAAAAATAATAATAATAATAATAATGATACAAAAAAACAAGTCAGCATATTCTAATTGGCGACATCTGACCAAAGAATACCCTGTTTCTGAAAAGCTCCAATCAGGTGGAAAATAGAGTTTAAAATATCAGAAAAGAAATCAAGTTCTTTTTTAAAAATATCAAATAAATGTTAAAAATATAACATGTTTAATAAACAACGTGTATTTGTTTAGGGTTTTCTAAGTTACATGTTTCAAGAAACTATCATTTTTTAATGAGATAGGAATGAATTATTCTTCTTTTTTTTATTTTGGAGTGAGGCACAGGCAGTTTTAAAAGTTATTTATTATTTATATATATTTTTAGATTTTTTGAGAAATTAAAGTATTGAGCATATTTTTAACTACATTAAAAAAATATATCCGTTGTGATTTTTCCTCCCAAGACAGAGAGACACACACAAAAGTACACAACAATAAAAAAATGTCATCAGTAAATCAGTAAACAGAATGTGCATATTTGAAATATAGGATTTTAAAAAATGAGTTCTAAAACGTTGCCTTTAAAACTGAGGCTGGAAAACTCTAGGAAAAGCTGCAAGCAACTCTGTTTCTTTGAGGATTCAAGAGTCTGCAGAGTGTAGCTAAAAAAGACGGAAAATTTTCTCGACAATTATGTTATCGTTAATGTTGTTGTTGTTGTTGTCATTGTTGTTAATGTTGCTGTTGCAGCTTGCTTGACGATTGCTTCTTAATTAAATATTGTCAACATGTAAGCGATGCTGTTGTTTTTGTTGTTCTTGTTGGCTTTGTTGTTGCCAAGATTTGTTCTGTGTGCAATTTGATGAGTTGCTCGCTTTGTGCTTGCTGAATGCCTGCCTGACTGGATGCAAGCCGGATGGTTGACGGCTTGATGGTTTGATGATTGGAAGGCTGGGAGACTGGATGGTTGGATGGTTGGATGGCAGCAGGAAGTGCGAAAACTATTAGTGGCACTTATTTATTCATTAGAGGCAGCCAGTTAGACGGACACCCAACACAAACACACACACACACACACGCACACACACACCACTTACTCCAATTATGCAACTCTGATGACAACAGAAGCAGAGGGCAACTAGGATGAGAATAGGATTCTGCTGCTGCCTCTGCCTTTGTTGCCGTTGCCCCTGCTTTGCATAATGTCAAATGACGTTGCAAGCAACTCAGTCGCACTCTTAAGCGTACAGTAGTCTCTCGTGAGTTGAGACACATTGCTAATTAACAAAGTTGTCAGAATTTATTTCAAACGTTGAAAAAGATTTCTCATTTCGTATTCAAGTTTTTTATTTTTCATTTACACTCAACAACAACTCTTGTTTTTATGTTAAATAAATCAGGATTTAACTGTATTTTGGATAATTCTTTAATCTACGAAGCTTCTGTTTTATTGCATATAAAAGTCGGAGAAATGTTTATATATATTTATTCACAAAAATTTTATATAAATTTGATTTTCATATGTTTTTACAAATGTGGGCGGAAAATTGTCAGTTTTAATTAAACGAGAAATTTTAATTTATAGAGCCCAAATTGCTTCTGAAAAGATGTCTTATTTAAAATACATTTTAGATTTAGTTTTAAACTGCAGAAATATATAAAAAAATATATATATAAATATGGATAAAAAACATTCCCATTCGATTTGAAATCTGTGCAAAATGCTCAATTCAGTAAGTGGCAATTATCGAGTGCACACTGTAACATTATTTATGCGTATGCATTTTGCCTTAAATGATTTTTTTTATTTTTATTTCAAGTCAATGCACTCCGACTTTTATAACTTTGAACTTGAAGTCAGAGTTCAATGTGCGTATACGTAATAAAATAATAACGAATAAACTTACCCATATTTATATGCAAGTGTATGTGTGTATTTGTGTATTGTATTGTGTTGAATGCGATATTCACAGATCACAACAAAATGATTGTATGCAGTATGCAGCAGATGATATTACTTTTAGCTACGTTGGCTCCTTTTTTTTAAAGATATTTATATATATATTTTTTTATATTTGCTTTTGGGGTTTGCGCCGCATGGGACCGATTTCTGCCGAACTCACTTAAGCAAAACACACACAGAAGCACACAGATATGGCGATACACACACACGCACACACACGCACACAATAATAAAAGCGTAAATGCTTATTTATTTGCAAGTCGTTCGTTTCACAAAAAAATGCGCTTTGTATAATTTATGAAGGCAAAGCACACGACGACAATTTCATCGGGCAGAAGTGCGAGTGCGAGCGGGAGAGGGAGGTGAAGAGGGAGTCAAATTCAAGCTCGAATTCGATTTCGTTAAACATTGCGAATTGAACTGTTGTTTGTTTTTTTCTTTTTGTGTTATGCTCGAGGGTTATTAGAATATAAAAAGCGCCAGCGGGGACCGCTATAAAATTCAAGGAGTCAACAACAATAAAATTGAATAGCACAATTTTTTTGTTTTTTGATTTGATTTGATTTGATTGCACGAGTTTATTAAGCGTTAAATCAGCGAGGAGTGAGGAAGAACACGCGCTTGACCGACTGCACTGACCGAGTCCGAGACGACAACTGTGTTCAATTTTCAGTTTTCAGTTTTCAGTCCATCAATCAACCAAGCGACAGCCGAATGCAATTCGCCACCTCAATTGCAACGATCGAACAATTTACCGAACAACGAAACCGACAACGACACCGAACACCGAAATCGAAATCCGAAGCGCCGCGAGTCTCTTGACGAATTAAGTGCGCCGCATAACGTGCGTTCGCCACGATGTATCAACAGCAACTGTTTCGAGTCGCTGGCGTTTTTGGAGCCAACTCCAACAGTTCAACTCCACTGTGGAACGTATTTGTGGATGTTGTTCGCGGCAACGTTTTGGCGCCAAGTTTGGAGAGTTCCAGTAGTGCCGGTCGCCGAAAGAGCGCACAAAGTGAGTAAAAGAACGTTAAGCACGTGTAGCCAAAAGAAGCCGGTCTCAAAAGTGGAGAACATCTATAAATATTTTTAACACTGATTTAATTAATATGATCTAAATTAATTTAATTGAAGAGATGTGCATGTAAGACATATACTGGACACCATTATATATAAATATTTTTAAAAATATATATGTAGTTCACTTTTTGATAAGTTGTTGTTAGTAATTTATTTAACTCCAAGTAAAAATATATAAAATCTTATTAAATTTACATAAAATCCATTTAATTTCGTTTTTCTACTCATATTTCTCATTTGTACTGCTCATGTTACGAATGCGACGAGCACAACAAAAATGCAAAAAGTGTAGACTTGGAGAGTAGGCATGCGCATGCGCAGAGCATGCCAGAGAGCGGATTACTAAGCGTGAGAGAGAGAGAGGGAGAAAGAGCGAGAGCCGGCGATGGCAACGACCACAAAAATAAACGCAACGAATTTGCCATCCACAAGGGAAAGACACCACCAAAAACAACAAAAAACGGGTGATGTTTGAAGATGAATTTGTATGAAGCTGAAGGGGTGGGGGAGTTCCTTAGAACTAGCATCTGTTTAATAGCAAGGGGAGGCAAATAAATGAATGCCCCAAGATCTAATTAGAGGGAAATGAAAATCGAAACACACAAAAATGCCAACGTATTCATAGACGATGCCAGACAAACAGAAATCGAGAATTTTCAATATAATTTGCTATGATTGCTGATCACAGGGAAAAAAGGCAGCCAAAACGCCAAAGAATGCGCCCAAATGCAGCCAAACTAGCCATAAAAAGGCTGAGAAGCCTGCGTGCTGTCTTTTCTTCTTCTTTCCTTTTTTTTTGTTGCACACAGTTTACTATCGAGCATTGGTCATCGTCTAGCCAACACACACACACACACACAGACGAATGAGGGAAAGGAATTTCAGATAGAAATTTATCTACGCTAATTTCAGAGTTAAACTTGTGTAATAAAACCGCATCATCATCGAATGCAATTTTCGCTGCTCGCGTGCCGCTGCCGCAATGCGAATATCGCATCTGCTGCTCGCTGTTTTCGAGCATTCGATTAGAGCTGGGCGCGTGTCGTGACACGATCGATAAATCAACAAACGCGTGTTTAACAATGTTAAAAGCGGAATATAGTCTTTGAAATGATCAAGTTAATTATATTATTCAAAGATATTTGAAAATCTCAAGTGGAAATTGTATATATTTAATCAAAATAGGATTACACAAATCATAACCAGTAAATTATTTACAAATAAAGCAAAATAGCGATGAATATTAATAATAACTATATAAAAATTATAAAAAGAAATTATATATGTAACACATACTAAAATATGAACAAAGTATATTATAATATAACATACCCATTTTTCACATATTTTCACTTGAGTAATTCGTGCTCGGGTCGTGCTGAGTTCCTTGAGCACGTGCGCATCTCTAGTTTGGAGGAACTGTTGCACTTTTGGCATTCTTCGGATGAACGCCTCCAATTTCTCATAGAACTTTGGACCAGGTCTCCGAAGCAGTTTGGCTGGCGTTTGGTTTATGGTTTATGCGCCGCCGTTTTTGGTCTATTAAAATGATTGCAGTATTTACGTAGCGCTTTTCAGCCATAATTTGTATTGGCAATGCTCATCATTGACTGTCCGATCGTCTTTCTGCTCTTTTTGGGTCTCTTTGGCTAATACATTTTTTTGCTGTTTTTGTTTTTTTCTGTTTTTATTTTTTGTTTGTGTGCATTCAATGCGCTGGCGTTGGAGTCGATGTCTTAGCCAGGCCGAAACTCAAGCAGCCGCCGCAAGCGTTTAGCTCTCAATGCTGACCCGTTCTCTATGCTTTTCTATTGTTTATCTACAACGCACCAGGCACAGGCACACGGCACAAGGCACAAGGCACGGCCAGAGACACAGCCAGGCCCCTGATGCTCATCGACCCATGTCCAATGGCGTAGTCAGGCCATCAACTGGGAGGGGGACCAGAAAATTAAGGAAACGAACAGGTTACTTCAAAATTATAGGCAAACAAACGAAGACTTTTGTGGCTGGTTCGACTCCCAGACTCAAAAATGTTAAATCTTCGAGCTTATTCATTAAGTAAACCCAACCCAAAGAATTCTGTAGTCGAGAGAGCTCCTCTGGAGAAGGTTATCCTGAACCCAGCTGTTAAATTCATAATTTGACCAATATGAAGATATGTTTTGCTAAAAGTAAATCTTTAATTTACACATTTGATTAATAATGTGTCAGTGTAATTTATAAATCAAATGGAAGTCTGCATTCTGTACAAATGTGTACAAATTGCAAATCGATATATATCGATAAAAGGAAATAAATTCGATCTGGCTATGATATACAAGAAATTATATTCCAGATCCATTTGCTGATAGAAATAGTTCAACTGACTTTGTTAATGCTGATTACGAATATACATGTATATTTTATGGGTTCGGAGTAGTTTCTTTCATTACACAATTTCCCTTTATCCTTTTAAACAGTTTTCCATGGGTTCGGGATCTAAATATAGAAACATTTTCTTTTTTTTTTAAGAAAATTGTTGTTTATTTATTTTTTCAATTAGAGGACTTCTTTCGATTACTCGCTTTAAAAATATATTTTTTTTAGAAATGGTTTTTTTGTTTATATTTATAATTGTTATTTTAGCATATTATAATTATTTTCACATGGAATAATTTCAGCTGGCTTGCTACAGATTTGATTACAGTTAACCCCACTTTGAGTGTTGGCTACTCCCATGCCCAGGTCCATGTCCATGTCAAAACCCTAATCCATGTCGAAGCAAGCCGATGGCTTGGGTTTTTGGGGTCTTCTTCGCCTGCGTTGGTGCATTAATATTTCCGGCTAATCGCCTTTGGCGTCGCATTGCCGTATTTACAATGATTATTGATCGCTTAATAAGAATTTGTTTTTCTTTCTTTATTTTTATATTTTTTTATTTTGGTTTTCCTCGCGTTTATTTGTGCAGCTTATGGATATTTATTCTGTGTGTGCGACAAATATTTGTGCCGAAAAAGTGGCCATAAGAAAAACAGATCAATTACAAGGTGGGAATCGCAGAAAGCACACAACTCTTGGATTAATGTCAACGGCATCTTGACTCGACTCCGCAATTTGTCTGCGCCATGTGAAAGTCCAACTTTCAATTTCAAATTCATACAAAGAGAGTCGTCATTCAAGTTGCTGATTATGATTGTGATTATGTCTGCGACGGGCTTTCAACATATTATTACACTATATATACATATATATATATATATGCTGCTCTGTACATGCATTAATACCTCAATCTTTCTGCACAAGTCTGGCACAAAATCAGTTGTTGTTGTTGTTGTTGCAGTTACTTTTGCCTCATCTCAAACGCATTGAAATCAAACCCATTGAAATCAAACAACTCTTGACGGGCTAAGAGTGTGTGAGAGACTAGCAGTTACCCTCTACTTTTGGCGATATCAAACACATTTTTGAGAGTTTCCAAATACTAAAAAATTTATGTTTTAGTCGTAAAAAATCAAATTAATTTGACTGTTTTCCTTTTGGGATTGCCATTTGGTATTGTTTATATTTATTTATAGATTTTATTTCATTCACATTTATATTTATACTAATAAAATGGCTACATTTAAGCAACATATAAACACAAATAAAATAAAATAAGAAATGTTTTCTATGTGTTTATTGCATTTGTAAGGAAAAGTAATTAATGAAAACGTTTTTAGACTCTTAAAAAGAAAAGATCCATAAAGTTATTCAATGTTTTCAACGTATTTATTTTATTATCTGTATCTTTTATACAATTTGAGAGACTATTTGTTAGATGTGAATAGGAGTATTAATGGACATCGACACATATATATATATATCTCAGCTGCAGGGTATTCGTTTGAGATGCACTCAAAAATGGGACTACAAATTGCACTGCAAAGTAAAAATGAAATTTGAATTCAAAGCTGAAAGCCACGCCTGCAATGCGCCACAGGACAATGAACTCCAGTGTAGCCATTCTTCTTCTTCATTTTTTTTTTGTTTTTTTTTTTTGTTGTTTTTTTGGAATTAAAAGCCAAAAGTGTAGCATTAAAGAACCTGTTTAAATGTGGTGCTCTTTTTTTGTGCGCACTTCCGTTTGCCGCAAAAGGCTGCTAATTTTGACAGATTACAAGGCATTGATTTTCAGCTTGGGGCCATTATTTTTGGGTAAGCCACCGGAGCAGCGGGCAATGCCTTAATCAATGGCTCATTGGCAGGCGATGGTTGTTGTTGGGTATTTTGGTGAGCCAAACTCGAGTGAAGTGGCAAACAAGCCACAATTTCAAGTGGTGAACTTAAAGAAAAGAATTAAAGAGATTAACAAATATCTTTTATGTTTTACAGGCACATTGAACATTGGGAAATTGGGTAAACTGAAGTGGCGTCAAAGTGTGTAAGTGCCAGATCGAAGGAATATATGGATTATTGTCAACAGCGTCGACTCGAGTTACGATAGTCATAATTGCCTCAACTTTAAGGATATCTATTTTTTATTCAGTAGAAAATATACCTTGATTTAGATACATATATTGGAGGGTATATCTTAGTCGAGCTCTCTGGATCAGATCATTGTCACTAACTAACCTAAGGCTTGACTTATATCAGCAACTATAATTAACAGTGTAAGTTGTGGGATCGAATTAGACATGGACTCATTGAACTGCACAGTTCGCAAACAGAAAACAAAATACACAAAAATAATAATATTTTTTGTATAATCTGTGGGATGATATCTGCCTGAGATAGCAGTTCTTTCCTGTTTTTGAATTATTCTTTTTCCGAGCTTATTTACTGAGCCCCAGTGCAAGCCAACCCGCTGCTTTCAATTAAAAAATGAAGAAAAAAATGTTAAATAAAATAAAAGGAGCAAAGTTTCGGGTAAGAATTTATGAGCTGCATTGGGCGAAAGCATTCACGAAATCTGCATGCAAAAAAGAGCCAAAGAGCCAAAGAGCGAATCGCCAGACGACGCCAGCGATTAAGAGCTGAAAATCAAAGGCAGAAACCAAAGCAAAAAAAAAAATGAAACAAGTAAGCCAAAAAGCCAAGAGCAACACACACAAAATCCTGGTAGCCGTAAACCGTAACCGTAAACGAAACCGAAACCGAAACAGAAACCGCGGCCAGCAATAAAAAAGCAGAACGCGGCTAAATGTCAAATGACAAATGCTCGCACTTAAGAGTAATTTTTGTTTTTGTTTTGTTTTTTGGTCGAGGGTTTTGGTTAAAAGGTCTCGTGGCCAAAACCGAAAAGCAAACATTAAGTGTTGAATGCGAAGCGGAAATCACTTGAAACCGAGCATAAATCAAAAGGAAACAATAATGGAACAGAAAAACAATGCAAAACCAAATATTATTCAACTGTACAGAATAGAAAATTGCAATTGCAGCTTCCGCTTTGGCAAACAATCCAAACAAGAAGCTGATAAAAACCAAGTGAAAATTAAATGTGTACAAAAGTAGTCTTTAATCAAGAACGCCATTGAAAAAGTCAGAGCCAAAGGCGTAATAATTGAGTAAACAATAGTAAAATGCATCACAAGGAGCTAAGAAAGGGCTCTTAACAGATCTGTAGAGTGATTTACGGGCCAAGTTGTCAACCAACTTGAACGTGTGTCTGCTGCACGTCTGGACGGGCTTCATTGGTGTGCGGCCTCTGCCACAACAACAATGATTCCTAATCTACAATTGCTCAGTGAAAATGGAATACCCTGGAAAGCAAAGAAAATAAAAATGTGAAGGACCAAGGAACATACTAGAAAAAGGTACTTAAATTTAATCTAGATTATACTTTTATAGTCAATATGTGAAATGAATGGGAAAATTTAAAAAAATAAATAAAGAAAATAAATAAAAATATGCATTTTAATTTGCTTTTACTTTAACTATTTAAATATAAATTCAACCGATAAAATACATTGTCTTTAAGCTGTAACCCTCTTTTTGGCAGCAATATTTGTTACAACCTCATTTATAGTCTGAATTGTATAGTCACTCATAAATATGATAATATAATAATAATAAAATTAAATCTACAAATGTTGCTGTATGGAAGAACCAAAGCAAAAGTTCATTCTCAAAATGCAAATAAAATTACTTTGAACAGAAAATCCAAGAAAGTCTAAGAAAATCTACCCTTAAGTCCAATTTTCAATAGCACAACATATATTTGAAAGTGCCTTGGGTTAACTGCCTTCATTTTAACTGTCCGAGCAAAGAGTTCAATTTTCACAACCCTTTTGAGCCATTACCATGGAACACAATTAGAAAACAGTTTACAATTCCCACACGCCGCAATGCAATGACAACATTTGCCCAACTGGTGAGTAGGAGATGATATACTCGTATGTATATGACTGGTATGGGTCTACCCAATTGCCATTTAAGGGATTATAATTTTTGCATTTGCCCGAAATACCAAAAAACTTCCAAGCGCAAAACTTTGCAGACAGTTTTTGTGCCATCGGTGGGAATTTTGATGTTTTTAGTTCCGTTCAGTTTTTCAGTTTTTCCGTTTTTCAGTTTTTGGGCTTTCAGTTTTTATTTCATTTTACGGCATTTGAATCCAAATGTGCTTTCAAATCGGCTTAGTTAGCAACCAGCAGCTTTCCGTGTTCCTGACGGCTTAAATTAAATGCGCCAGTAAAAGTTTAGCCAAACAAAAAAAAGAAACTAAAAATCTAAAATAATCCAAAGGTGCTTTAATTGCTTAACTGCATTTGCATTTTTGGCGTATTTTAAACGGATTCTTCAAGATATCTAATAGAAATCCATGTTTTGAAGATACATATGTATCTAATCCAATCAGCGTCATTTTCACGCCCACTTACACTTTTGCGAAAGTGGATAAGTTTTGAGTATACTCATTGTTTGACGTAGTTTTGTTGCTGTTGACCAAATATACAAATCCTCTCCGCAAAGTGAGATAATCGCAAAAGTGAACTGCGTGTTGAGCTCTGACTACAACCCGACTCCAAGACCCTCACCCATTTTGTCCGCGATAAGTCACAGAGCAAATATTTGATTTCGTAATGATCTACGTGTTTCATCTTGAATGACACGTGCTGGAAGAGTCTCTAAATACATTTAAGTGCCTGCTGAGAAGTGGAAGTCGAGCAGAAATTGGGGTTGGTTATTGAAACTGTTGCTCTGATTCGATATTACTTTCTGCTCTTTTACATTGGACACCATCAATTTTGAGGGCTGATGCCAATGCAAAATTAAAATAACATCAAGAGTTTTTTTATATTTTAATTCCCTGAAACTTTTATTATTTTCATCATAATGAATTGGAAATTAGTTCATAAATTTCCATCTTGTTGGATTATCTAAAATTCTTCAGCGAAAAACTTTCAAAGTTTGCTAGAAATGCGTAGCACACCAAAAAGAATAATCAAGCAAGCTATATTTACTTTTAGAATTCAATTGAATTGCTAAATAATCGTTAAAAGGCATTTACCCAAAATAGACGGGCGCTCAATAAGGCTGACAAAAACGGCCCATCATCAATTACAAACTGAACTATTATATACAAAAAAAAACACATGAAAGCGAATGAAATACGACATAAAATTGTGTTGCTTATAAATAGAAGCAGTGAGTTTAAATGCTGTCAGAAAATGACAGTTGCGTTGGCCACTTAATCAAAATACAGACATGGGCAAACAATTCGCATTTTCAGCTCCATAGATAACAGATAACAACAATTAGCCCCATTGCCCATGCCGAGTGCCTGAAAAGCCCCAACCTAAGAGCCAGCATTCGGTAGCTTTACGATTTACTTTTAATATATACTACACATTATAATATCTACACTACACTATGTACATAGATAACAGCTGGCGAAATTGGCCTGGACAGGCTGTCGCAAAGTGCTTTTGGCGCAGGTTTTAAAAGCGCCCGCACTATTAATATAATAACTTGGTAATATCTATTAGACCCAGAAGTAGACGTACGCGATTTTGCTGCGAGTCAGTTGATTGTCTGAGCGGAGGCCAAGTGGTTGGCCGTGAAATCGCGTTGCTCGAGTGAAAAATATATGGAAAATCGCAGTTAGTAAAATGAATATCCTTGCACACCTACTCGGATTACTTTGCATCGGATTTGCGGCATCTGCAAGTCTGAATGCGGATCTTGGCCAACAAGCAGTGGAATTCGGTTAGTTCCAGCAGATTATTGCGTCCTTAACAGATTATAAATAAAATGAAATTCTGCTTATTAAATTAAAAAGTGTAAAAGCATTTAAATTTCATACTTTAATAGTGAAATCTCAAGTTTGGAAAATTATTAAAGACTCTAAGAGCATATTATAATAATACCATTAGTGAAAAATGCAAAAACTAATGTTAATATTAATTAAAAATATTAAAAAATATTATCGAACAAAGAAAAAGTGTTTGATAAAAATATTTCCTTTTCTAACAAAATACTACAAATTTTTTTTACGACTTGGAAAAATGTTTGCAATTTGTTCGGTTCCTTATCAAAAGCTTACATTGTTTATTCGTAATATATGTATTATTATATATATAATAATATTTATAAAACTATAACCTGGATCAAGTTATAATATAATATAATAATTTTATTAAAAAAAAAGCAAAACTCTCTTGAAATACAATGTGGTTTACATATGTCTCGCAAATAAATCAAACTTGTTGAGAAAATGTGTATAAGAAAATCAATTTGTATATATTATTTTGAAATTAAAATTTTCTGACTCGAACTTTAAAATTGTGGGAAATATCTAGTTTTTAACGGCTAGCACTTCGAGGTAATATTTATAACCCAATTTCTAATTTTCCGACATATCACTAAAAATACAACATTTTATAATTATTCAGTTAGATAATTTCATTTAGTAGTCTACCAAATTTGTTATATATTTTTGTCTATGTCTCCCCTTACAGCGAACGATGGCGCATACACCACCAGTGACTCCACCGATGTCAGTCCCAACTTTACAGACACACCCGATCCATCCCCAGAACCCTCGGACAATTGTCCCTCACTGTCCAATGCCTATGCCTTAAGTCAAACACAATTGATTTCCCGATTAACAGACCCCTGTCGCTATGATCGAAACGAGCCACCGATAACAGTAAATGATATCGGGGAGATTGTACCCATTGACGTCTATACTCAATTTTATATCTATGCGCTGAAGGATCTGGACTCGAATGACTTGCAGTTTATGCTGCAAGGCCTGCTCCAGTTCAGATATAACGACACCCGTTTGGCATTTGCAGACTATGCCCCAAATCGACAGCAGCCGATTGTGGGTGATTCCGATTTGAGGAATTTACTTTGGGTGCCGCACATCTTTCTGGCCAATGAGCAGAGCTCGAATGTCCTGGGCACCAACGAGAAGGATATGCTGACCACCATTTATCCAGATGGCACTGTCTTGGTATCGACTCGCATACAGGCCACTCTATATTGTTGGATGAACTTCGAGAAGTTTCCGTTCGACGACCAGAAATGCACCACAGTCATCGAGAGTTGGATGTATAATACTTCAATGCTGACGCTCCACTGGGAGCTGACGAAGCCAGTCAGTTTCCACACCCAACTCCAGCTAACGGAATACGATCTATATGGTTGGGTGTGCAATGAGACCGTCAGCGTCTCAGATACATTTACCATGTCACATGGTGCTCTACAGGGCAACTACAGTGCGTTGAGTTTTAGTGTGATGCTTAGTCGTGAGGTTGGATATTATATAATCGACTACTTTGTGCCCTCGATGATGATAGTGGCCATATCCTGGGTATCCTTTTGGCTGCAGGCAGATCAAACACCCGCACGCACCATGATGGGTTGCTCGACGCTGCTGTCCTTCATAACCCTTTCACTGTCGCAGGAGAACAGCCTGTCGAAGGTCAGCTATGTGACCATGTCAGAGGTTTGGTTCTTAGTCTGCACCGCCTTCATTTTTGGCAGCCTCATGGAGTTCGCGTTCGTGAACACTATTTGGCGTCGGAACAATAATCTGGAGCTGAAAAAACGCAGCACCAAATATATTGTACGATCCACATTTGTGCCCAGACTGAAAAGGAATCCGAGAAGCTTCAATCGCAGTACGAGTTCACTAAGCAGCTGCAACAAGGTCTGTGGCAGCAATCAAAATAACACAGTCATCACCATTGAGACGCCCATCATCATTGCCGATGGCTTGAGCAGAGAGAATTCCGCAATAAGTCTGGAAGAAAATGATGTTAGCATCAGTTCCGGTTCCACAGCTGAGTTGACGCAATCGAAACCAGAGGAGAAGCCAGCACAAACATTTGCCACAATGACACCCAAGGAGGTATCTCTTTGGATCGATCGCAAGATGCGTTTCATCTTTCCACTCGCATTCCTCATCTTCAATGCCCTCTTCTGGACACTGGTCTACTGTCTGTAAGGCGGTTGGATATAGTATTTATGGTGATAGTATTTATCAGTTATCCATAGTGAATGCAATGCTCAGCGGCAGACAAAACTGTGCCACACAAAGAACACCTTAAACTCTCTACTTTACTTTACTTAATTATGCTCTCAGAAAACCAGAAATAAATTTTAGAATTTTGTAACTTAAAAAAAAGAAGTTTAAAACAACAAATACAATTTGTAAAGAATAAAAATCAACGTATTTTAAAGTATTTAGTTTTTAATTGATTATGTTTTAAGAGATTTCCGAAAACAAATTTTGTACAAAAAGAAAATATTTAGTTATTATCTAAGCAAGTTTTTGTTATTCACATTTTCAGCAAATTCGAACTTAATCGAAATTGTCTAATAATATTAAGTAGTCTTACATAGTCATATAGTAAACGTATTTATGCATTTTACATTAAACACAATTTGTATACACAAACTCAGTGCTCGTTTGGAGTGGATGAATGAATGGGTGGGGGGTTGGGGTTCGGGGGACAGGGAAACACAGTCAACAAGATTGCAGACTCCACACCTCTCTAGACACGTACGGAGCTGATAAATTTGTGCTTATTAGCCAGGCGGAGGCAATAAAAATAATGCCACTCGAAACAGGCACCAAAGCAACAAGTTGCAAACAGACAAGCGCACGCACTGTGTGAGTGAGCGAGAGAGAGAGTGAGAGAGAGAGACAGTGAGAGAGTGAGAGGGCAGCCTGTCTATTTGTATCAATGAAAAAATCATAATACAAGCACGCCCCCAAAATAAAAGCAGACAGAGCTCTCAGCTATGTCTCTCCTCGGCTGGCTGCTTCTCAATTTTTAATTAATTGCCTATGATGAGTGTGTTGAAAAACAGTTGGCAGCACCTCCTTCTCCTCCACCTCCGACTCCCCCTCGCACAACTACTTCTCCGGCATCATCTCGTCGAATTGTTTTAAACCAGCGACTCGACTACTTGATAAATTAACGGCACATGCAACACGTAAATTGTTTTTAAATTGCCTTATAAATGAACTTCAATTCAACTTGCAATAAACAATGTGGAAAAGTTGCACATTTTATTGCCAGCACTGCCACAAAATGGCAAGCATTTTTATATACCCTGTATGCCTCTTAATTGTGTGGATCTACAAAGAGTATTAGGCGAGCTTAAATAGTTTATGGATCGGAGAACTTATGAGCCTATACCCGGAGGCACTTTGTGTGTATGAATTTTGTATTATTTTTTCCGCTGCAACAATAAATTAAAAATAAATTATTTGAAGCACGGCATTTATTGAACAAGTAGAGCAGCTTAAAGAACTTGTCTTGAGACTATATTGAATAGAGTGTTGCTGCTCTATAAAAATGACATATTAAAATATTTATATTTTCAGGCTGAGTACAGGGTATCTGCTAGTCGAGTAATCGCAACCAGAGCATTTCAAATTGCAACAGATATATGAATATATATATATATTACTTCAGCACGGAGAGGGTAGCACTCCACATTAAAGTACCGTTTAATTGTTGGCAATTGATGCTAGACCACTTGAAAATTACTTACAGGGTATCTCGCAGTCAATTGGCGTTTTAGTTGCGCTGTCTGATCATCAGCTGGGAATTAATTTGAAGTGGCCATAAGTCAATGGCAGGCTCTTGGACGTCATCGTCATTGCTTTGGACCAAAGCAGCAAAATTTGTTATGCAAAGCCAATATCGGGCCATCAATCTTGCAACAACGCGCTGCAACGGTTGCAGTCACTGCCAAACTGTATGGGGCAGCGGAAGGGGCACGCAACCAACTTGTTTTTTTGCTGACCGCGAGGTGTACATAATGAGATGTAATCTGTCAAAATGAAGTGTATCGCAGGCCCACAGCGACAGACTTGCCTCAACCGACCACCAATCCCCTCCCCGCCCCTGGCTGACTGCCTTTCATTTTGATGGGAAGAGCAACTTCACTTTGGGTTTTCAGCACAGAGATTTTTTGCGTCTGCTGCACAAAACTTTAGCAGCCGAGCAAGTTTATTGAACCCCACACAGAGCGAGTACTGCAACGAGGGCTGCTCGAAGACAATGCAGTCACACAAAATAAACAATTTGGTACTCAAAACCAATACAAATTTAGTTCAAATCTGGATAGAGTGGATAGTCCTAGAAAAGAGAATTAAATTTGTATGTTACGAATGCATTTTGTTATGCACAATTTACACGATTTAAAGCAGAAGAGGATTTAATTAAATACTTAGAAACAAAATGTTACTCAAGCATTTGTAGCAGTCGTTTTTTCTCCGAGTGTGTGTGTGTGTGTCGAGGCAGGTATATGCGAGAGGTAAGCCACCCCTCTGTGTTGTGCAGCGGATGTTCCCATGTCACCTAGTTAAGCCCCCTGAAATGATAGATGTCTCTGGCAACTGGCAACAGCTGTTTGTTGTTGTGTGTTTATCAAATAGCACTCGTTTAATTATAACCCAAATAAGAACTTTTCAACAGCAATAATATATACATTTGGGTTTTTTTTTTTAATTTTTTATTATTGATGGCAGCCAATAATAATGGGTCAACATGCCGCACTTACAGACCCTACAAAATACCCCTTCCGCCTCTAACAGAGTTCGTTTACACGGCGTCTATTTGCTTGGTTTAGCTTCCGATTCCAGCTGTGAGAAATGTTCAAAACCCCTTCCATCTTTCTCTGTACCTAAATGAGCTGCATAATAAGCAAGTGCTTCCAGTAATTTTTCTTTTTTTTTTTTCTTTCATTATTTTATTTCATCGTATTTCCTTTTTGCTTCTTATGCTTTTTGCCGGGCAGTCGGCACATGAGAATTACAGACATTTTCATTTATTATTATAGTAGTTGGGTCAGCCCCCTTCCGAACTGTTCTGTATAATTTGCAGTTAAGTACTCAGTTCGTTCTCCCACATGTCTCCAACTTTTGAAGCGTGAACAGCAACAATAACATAACAACAAAAAAAATGCCGACCACTTGCAAAAATTATAATTACATAAATAAGAACAATAAATATGTGTATGAATATATACATAAACAGATAAGATGAGACAATGTAAGCTCCCGTACACGATTTAATGATATACATGCGGATGGAGTTGGAGATGAAGTTGGAGATGGAGTTGCCTGAATTGTGGATGATAATGCTATGGAGGGGAAATGGTGCATCGATTTGTGTGCAAGATTCGGTTATTTATGTGGCAGACAAAATGCATCAGGAATGTGACCTTCTGAGCACTTCTCAGTGTCTAAAAAGCACTCAGCAGAGCATTCCAAAGTCGAGCACTGTTGATATGTTGGCATGTTTGAATTTTATTTTTAGATGGTGGGAAAATTCTATTTCAAGTGGCGTTCAACAGATTACCTATCTGAACAAGCACAAGTAACCAGAACAAGCAACGCCGCCACCACCAACAACAATAGTAACAATAACAATAACAAAAATAACAACAATGCTTATTGTTGTTAGTTTTAGGTTAGCCAATTTCGAGTTGGCTGGCGTTGGTTTTGGGTTTGGGTTTGGTTTTGGTTTGGTTTTGGTTTAGCTTTGTCGTAGCAACAGACCAGTCACGCTCTGTGGGCGCTGGTTCAAGAAGTCAAGTACAACCATCGTCCAGCGTGCGAATGAGCTCAACTCAAGTCGAATTGGAGACTAGCCCCCAAAATGCAATCAATAGCGGTTTCGTCTGGAACCGGCTCTCTTTTTATGACTAATAGATGCCTTAAATAACTGCATTGGCAAAGGACTAATTTTTGGCCAAAGTCATGTGCAAATTTAATGCCCATCCAACAGATTAGTTTGCCGGCACCCCGACCAGACTACTACCAAAACTGGTACTCATCCAGCATGCAGTTGCATGAGTGCACCTAAATCCGCATGTCTAATGAGCCAGCGGCGATGCGTCGTCGTCGTGCCAGTATCTGTTCCTTGCTGCCCACATACACAGCGAGAAAAAGTCAATTACAAAAATTGCATTTTGAGTAGATGCATATCTGATAAAGTTAACTAAAATTTGGATATTTAATTTGATGTGATTTGAAGTTAATTTTTATTCTCTGTGTATAGCCCCTGCCGTCTGTTCCCCTTTTGAGTTCGTCTAAGGTATTTACATGCCGCATGCCACAGCCTATTAACAAATTGCAAACAAACAGACACACACACACACATAGACACATAGAATGTGAGACACAGTAGCCACATACGGAGTTCAGGTTTTAGACCAAGTGGGCGTGCATACTAAATTACGATACTATTAGGGATAGAGGCCTTTGCAGCTAATTTAATACAATGTCGAACGTGGCAGTCCGAACGTGGAACGCAATGCGTTAATGGCAAGCACCTTGCCTGTTGTCTACCTTGACCCACGATCATGATCATAATGTTGCTGTTGCTGTAGCTGTTGTTGCTGTTGTTGCTGTTGTTGTTGATGCTGATGATGGCGCCCGACGATTAGAGTTGCATGCAACAGCAGCAACATCAACAGCAGCCAGTAGCGTCAACAAAGTTGGACTGCTTAGTGGCGCCTCATGTTGCCAGCGAGAGATTCGAATCATTCACTTGGCTAAGCCGCCTAGAGCCAAAACGTTTTGCACGTTTTTCCAATGAAGCAGCAGTTCGCTCATAATTAATGAAAACAACTTGTAACCGCAACTGGTTCTACACCGAAAGAAAAAACTGCAATAAATTGAGAGTAGTGTGCGTAAGACCATTTTGTATATTTTCGAGAAACGTTCTAATATTCTTAAGCGAAGTTACAAGAAGTGAATCAAAGAAATTATAAACTGGTTTACTAGATTTAAATACATCTATTGTAAAAGGTCGTGTATTGGTAATATTCCTAGCAACACCTTACCTGAGTAAGAGAGAGAGCGATCTGATTATATTTTTACTATTATTATTATTATTATTATTAATAGTTAATTTGTAGCACAATTTGCAAAGTTGTAGTTATGATTGCCTTGACTTGTTTTCTACTGTGTAGTTGTTGCTGTCGCTGCCCCAAGTCCAGAAGTATCATGTATTGACTGGCCATTTAATTTGGCAAATGCCTATACATGCAGAGGACCAGGTACAGGTATCGGTGCGGGTAAAGGCCGATGTGTCAGGCAGCGGCAATCGGTGGCGTGCCTTTAGGCCAGCAGTTATTAATTAGTATCTGCTTATCGCCGGCCCCACTCGACTGTCGAATCACCAACATTTGTCATAGATATATGGCGGGGGTGTGCCTACGTCCGTTAAGACGGTGCACGACGTCAACGCGATCTTATCGGCCAAGTCCAAAAGGCAGCAGTGACATTATCTGTTGTTTTGATATGGTTCGCTTTCAGCTTCTGGTGCGCAATATATGAGTCTATTGTATGCTCTGCTCATCCGTTATTTATGACCAGAGAGAATCAACGTCTGTGAGCTCATTTATTATATATTTTATGACGAGTTTTCGTTCTT